ATATATATATATATATATATACACACACACACATATATATATATATATATATATATACATATACATATATGTATTTTAAAAAAATCCTAAAGAAATCATAAAGAACTTTACAAAAACTCTAAAGAAATTATGAAGAAATCCTAAAAAAATATTAAAAATAAAGTATCTAAAAAATCTAAAAATAATATCTTTAAATAAATTCTAAGTAAATCTTAAATTTTTTTAATCAAATTCTCAATAAAATCTAATCAAATCCTAAAAAAATACCAAAAAATTTTAAAATAAATATTAAATAAATTCTAATTAAACCTTAACTAAATCCTAATGAAATCCTAATAAAATCATTTTTACAAGATATGGCTTAAGAATATATTGATTGTCCATTTGTATTTGATTTATATTACATACTTTGCAATAGATTTGTAGCATTTGATGTGTTGTATATAATCTTTGTTTATATAATATCATAATATAATTCTAATCAAATCCTTAGTAAATTCTATCCAAATTCTAATAAAATCCTAAATCTTAAACCAAATCCTATTCAAATCATATTCAAATTATAAATCCTTAACAACTCTCAATTATGCCTATAACAACTTGATTCACAACTAATCTTTGCCAAGTATTAATTTTTAGTTTCTTAAAATAATTTTTTCTATAAATTACTCTTAATTCCTTAAAAATACCTATATTAGTATTTTTTTTATTTACTTTGATTTGCCTCATTTATAGCCATGTAAAGTAAGTAAAAGCTTATCTTGCAAAGAAACAGCATTAGCACTTATAAGTTTAATTACCTTCTTCACTATTATCAATACTTCTACAAAAATTTGTTACAATATTTTCAATTAACTACTTCTATAATATAATCTTTTTTTCTATTTTACCTAATAATTATGCTATAACAAAATAATAGTAGACAATAGTAGTTTGTAGTATCATGTGTCACTTTGTAGTACATTGTGATAAGAATTCATTGCAACTTTAGGCTTCTAGAATAGTGATAAGAAGCTACATAATAATAGGATCATACAATGATACAAGCTACAATAATAGGACCAAAAAAATCATAGACAATAGTGTATAGAAATAGAATTCAATATAAAAATAATAATAATAATAATAATAAATAATCCAAAATTTTTAAGTGTTAAGTTTAGAAGTTCACACCAAGAGCCTACATAGTCTAAATTTGATCATTGTTGAGTTTTTTTTATGTGGAATATGCCCAAAGAAGCCAATAACATTATTGATTTGTATAGTGGAGATTGTTTGGAGCATTGAAGTGCAATTTATTCATTTGTTTTCTAAGCAAGTTTTTGATTTTTTTACTTCTTCACATTTCATTTGGTGTAGTATTAGATGCCAAATTCCGTCCAATGTATGTAACTTGGTTTGATTTAGTAATTTTCCATTCATTTAATTTTTTCATTAGTTGACTTTGTTAATGTCAAATAGAGTTTAAAGATTTAGGTAAAAAAAAACCTCATTGATTTAAAATTCTTATCAAGTCAAGTCTAATAAGTGACTTTGAGAAAGAAAATGATTATATTATAAGAGTTTTCTCGGCTATAGAAATTTAGCAATTTAATAAAGATTTAGGGTTTTTTTTACTCACACTTGTATTCCTAGATTTTTCTCTTTTAGTGTGAAAGATAGCTTTACTTATTTGTGTATAGGTTTATTATCTTTTCTTAAAAATATACTGGTTGTATATTTGATTTAGCTTAAATTACATGAATTTTGGTTGATTATAGCACTCGATGTGTTGTATGTAATAATCTTTGTTTACACAACACTTTACCTTTACAAAAAATAATATTAAACTGAAAATATTAAGTACTAAATCAAAACTATAAATTATTATGTACTAATAGTGATGCAAAATTTGTCCTTTAATTATGCATTTTTAATATATGTGACATTATATAATTATTCTTTATATTAAAATTGTATCATTTTTTTATTTTTTTATTTTTTTATTTTTTTTAAAAGATTTATTAATTTAAGGTATTGATTTATTTATTAGTTCTTTATATAATAAAAATATTTATAATAATAAAATATAATTATATATTTAAAATAATTCTTCTATTTTAAAAAATATTCTAAAAGCACTTAAATAGCATGATATAAATAATAACCTTATAATACACTTTTAAGGGTATTTTAATGTATATAATAATAATAATAATAATAATAATAATAAAGTACATACTAGAATAAAAAATTAAAATTATTATTTTTTAATAGTTAAAAAAGTTAAAATATATAATATTAATTGTATTTATATTAAAAATTAGTTTTTTAATTGTGATATAAAATTTATTAAGATTTAAATATTAACAACCTATTAAACCAATGTTGGAAAAAAATTAGTAATGTATTAGATATTTTTTTTGAAAGATATCTAAATCATAATAGAATTAATTTAGAAGAAGAAAATAAAATAATATACAAATAAAAATATTATACTTATTATAAAAAAATATAGATTATAAATAAAAATAATATATATATATATGTATATATATATATATATATATATATATATATAAGGCAGTTTTTTTATTGACCTTATCAAATTTAATTATCTAATAAAACATAAAGAATTAAAAATCATTAGAAAGAATTTATTTAAAATTAAAAATTAAAAAGATGTAATTGTGGCAAACTTTAATAATTAGTTTATTATAAAGATTTGTTACAATCTTTGCCAGATAATATGTATATTGAACATAAAGTAGAACTACTTTGTTTTGTTAAAAATAATACATTAATACAAAAAAATTCTTAAAGATTGTAACCTTATTTGATTTAAATAGTGTCTAAGTTAAAAATAAATAAGGTATATCAAATAAATGCATTTTAAGTCAAAATCAATATTTGATTAATATATAGTATATGTCTAAGCTAATTTTGAAAGACATATTTGCATATACTATCAAAGATTATCACCATTTGATATGCTTATATACAATAAAATTATACTTGATTGAAAGCTCTATAAATTAAAAATCCCAAACACACTCGTAGGTAGTAATTATAAATAGATAAAATTTATAACTTAATTAGGAGATTCGTTAAAAAAGTAAAAAAAGTTTTAGTACCTAATTTATTTATTTATTTATAGAAATAAATTAATTGCATAAAATATATTTGTTAATTTACTCTTGATTGCATATGTTTTACAATAAGGATTGTACTTCAAAATTTATTCTTTGAGAAAAAAGTATAACATCTAAAATTTACATATTAGTGAAATATACAAATAAATATTATATATCTTCTTTAAAAATAATTCAAGGATTTTTTTTTATTAATAAAGAATGATTTTTAAAGAAAAACATAAAATAATAGATTTTAGTGTTGAACTGTTTTCTTAGAGTTGAATGTTTCGGAAATCAACTTTATTACACCATTGCTTTGAATCAGTCTAAACCTATAGAAAATAATTATTGTCATATATATATATATATATATATATATGTATATACATAGATGAAAATGTTTTCGTATTCTATTGTATTTTAGAGTGAAGTTATAAAGCTTTTAGAGTGAAGTTATAAAGCTTTTAGAGTGAAGTTATAAAGCTTTTAGAGTGAAGTTACCTGATGATAAAGGAGGTACATTGCATAGAAGACGTCTAATACAAACAAGTGGTTAGATTATTAAAGCATGAAAAAATTAAAACACAATATGACCTTGTACATCTCAATAGTTTAATAAGTCAATACATACTCTAGATACAATAGAATCATTAGATTATAATATGAAGAACTGTAATTGACTTAGATACCAATGTTGACTTTGATTTAGAACTAATTAATAAATACATTAAATTAAAACCTTACTAAGATGGAAATTATGCTTATCAATCAATAAATTTATATACCTATTTCTTTTTGTGTATATAAAAATTTGAAAATCAACAATAGAGAAGTTTCATTAAAAAAAAAAAAAAAAACAAACAAACACAAAACAAAACAAAACAAAAATTCAACATGTAAATTATTTACCAAAAGTACCAAATATGCAGCAAAAAACTATTGTTAAGAAGACATAATTTATTTTACAAATGAGAACTGAATAAAAGTTATGTTCAAGACATAAAAAAAATAAAATAATGCGTGATAGCTAATGATGCATATTACTTACGAGAATCTCCCAAACTAGTTAAGAACAAATCACAGTAACATGTAATTTCATTTTACTTGTAAAACAATTTGGAATGCAGGATAATAATTCTAAAGCGTTGCATAACAATTTACATGTAACATCAAACGTGTTAACAAATTTTCTCACTCAACAATTCACAATCAAAAATACGTTCAAAACTTTTTAGCCAATTCTTTGCATAATATTTTTTCTAATAATGATAAACAAGATAAACCTCGTCATTTTGCATGCAGATTCCCTTTACTGTGACTTTTCTCATGAATTTTCTAAGCTACACATTGGTTTTTCCCAGCTCCCAATTCTGAGACAAAGCAAAAGCTGGAACTCATTTCTAGCGTTTGCTATTGCTTGTGGAAGTGTTGGAGGATGAGCACCTTCAAAGCTCCCTTCACTTCCAAGCATGCGAAGTGGAAGGCCTAAAGTCTGTTCAGCAACACACAAGCATGACCACCACAGCAATTAGATGGCTCACACACAGAGCTCTCACAACATAGACAATCCAGGTACCATACAATCTTCGACTACGTTGCAGATCGTTTCCAAAAGTACAAAAGCTAGTTTATTAAGTTTTATTGTTAAGAAAAGAAAACTGGAAGATGTTTAACTGTTACATAAACCGCCGGGTGTGCATTCATAAACACACTCCACACGGGATGCGAATTCCTTAAACATAGTGCAAGCAGCTCAACGCCCCTAATTGCCCTGCTGGGATTTGCAATGGGTTCTACTATTGTTGCTGCTTATTTTCTGTTTACGTTCATGTGTTTTTTTCCTCTGTTTTTTTTTTTTTTTTTTTTTTTTTTTCTTCATTTTTTTAATATTTATTTTAATGTTTTTTTTTAAAATATTTTTCCCGTTGTTTTCCTTTGTTTCGTTTTTTCTCCGTCGGAGATGGTACAGAAGAGAGGAGCGGGTGGTGCAACTGGTGCACGACACCTCTGCAACCTTAAGAGGTGGAGTGAGCACTAGTAAGACGTCATTATATATATATATATATATATATATATAGATATATCTCTGTCTGTCTAAGAGGTTTCCTATGCTTGCAATCAGTTCGTCATGGCTGGCGACGACATTGCAATGTTATTCAGGACGCTGATATCACAACAAGTAGGATAGGGATGGCTTGGAGCTGGAGCGGGCGGATGCGAAAAAACCACGCCACTGCTTAGTCTACACAACAGAGATGAGTGATTGACGGAGGCCAAATCTACGATATCTCTGCAGCTGCATCGATGAAAAGCTTGGCCGAACCGCATCTAATTAGCGCCACTGCTGAAAGTTTGGCCGAACCACCAGTTCGCTGGGGCCGCGTTGTAGGAGATCACTTGGCGGCCGTCGCTGGTATGAACTCGGAAGGAGAGCGCACTCCCGACTATGTTATTGGGCCCCCCATTGAATGTCCACTGAGACCCCCAGTTGCGGTACATTTGCAACCATTGCGTCTTGGGGCCCTTGATATACACCTGTTGCACGTCGCCAGCGCCCGCTACGTTGTAAACGAGCACGATAAAAAAGTAGGGGTTTCCGTTGATGGTGAAGCGCATCCCTCCTTGCTTGTAACACGCCACCCTGCATCACAAAATACAACCGATGGGACATTATGTGTTTGTGGCACGGGCTCATTCTGCTTTGCGGAGCGTAATTGGATCAACTTGAAACATTCGGTGCAACGAGGAGATTTGCAGTACCTTCGAAAGTTGACAGGAATGACGCCTCCGACTCTGTTAGCAAGTGTGGTGAACATGGGCTCGGATAGGTCAAAGTGCTTCTGGGGTGGGTTGCACCACCCTCCCGTGGATCCCGAGGGACAGAAGTTGGTGGCCGTGACTATAATATTCTTGCCTCTGTAGCACCATTTGGATTCGTTGAGAATGCAGGTCAGCTCGTAGCATGCTCCGCAAGTGGCTCCACCGTTGAATAGCGGCCCACTCAGAGCAGCAGTGTTGACACCGTAACCGGTACTGTATAAATTACTATACCCGCAAGCACCTCCTGCACATTGTGTCAACAAATGCACAACTGATGTCAACCAAAATGATTTCCCAACAATCTTCTCAAATGTAGGAATCATGAGGATACTGTCTGGGGTTTAAGATGGGCAGATCCTCAAAAATAATCAGCTGACCAATCCTAATATGTTCATGCAATTTCATCACGAATTTTCTGAATCAGCCCATTCCCAGTCCACTGTAACGAGCTTGAATGCGTCCGGTCAATTCTGCATCAACTACATCCTGATCGGCTGCAGACAGAGACTGGCACAAAACTATATCACATCGAGAAACCCTCGCTCGCTTGCTCACTCGCCTGAGATGAATTATACAACCATGAAGGCTGCTGCTGCTGCACAGATTGGCACCAAGCAAGCGCACACATTCCAGCTGAAAAGATCGAGAAGATTACGTACCCATGGTGCCGCGTGCATCCCCTTCCCCATAGTACGTTGCGTGACCTTTGTCCCATCCACCAGGGCCGTAACCAGCCGCCTGCGAAACGCACCCGCACAGCATCACGAGCAGAGCAACCGCCACCGGGGACGGCACCATCGTCAGCCGGATCACCTGCGTCATTGTCGAATTGCACTAACCGACCCACACTGTGTTGAAACTCAAAAAAAGAAAACACACACAATTCCAATCAAGAAACCCAATTGACGGCACTTGTGCTGTCCTGCAACACCTGGTGACGATGGATTCCAGTGGGACTGTGGATCACAAGTGGGAATTCGAAGCGAGGCGGAATTCGTAACTGGAGTGGGAAGGGGAATGAGCTGTCAATCCTGGATGGGTAGGTAGCTCGCTATGTAGAAATGGGATGTGTAACGGATGGCAGCAACCGCCCTTTACGTAGTGCAGGACGAGCCCCCTGGTGGGACACTCTCTCTCTCTCTCTCTCGCTGCGTCGCAATAAGACACCGATTCGTCGCTGCGATCAGGTAAGCGCCTTGGAATTCATAATATATATATATATATATATATATATTTTCCTCTTTTGCCTTATTTTCCAGTGGCGAGGATCGAGTGTGCGGCGAGCAATTGCGACGGTCCCCGCGAGTCAACTTGTAGATCCTGTCCGCAGACTTTTTCTGATTCCTCTCTCTCTCTCTCTCTCGCTCGCCCTCCACTGTTTTCCTTCGCCTAATTCAACACGGTCTCACGCTCTTCTTCTCCTTCTTCGGGTCGTGTGCAGTTCCTATATCCGCGGGCCCGTAGCCTGTCGCCGAAGGTTGCCTGAAAGCCGCGGGTTTCGCTTGGGATGAAAATTATTGAGATGGATGGGTCATGGATGGACGATGTGTGGTGTGACATTTTATGTAATTTTTATTAAATGGTAACATGTTCATATAAAACATTAGGTGTGGTCACTGTGTACACAAAATTTATTTTTTTAAAATTAATTAATGATTATAATTTTTTCAAAGAACTAGTTTATTATTAGGGAAAATATTATATACCTCCTTGAGTATGCTGAAATATTAATAATACCCCTGCATTCTTAATAATGACAAATGTACCCTTGGCATTTTTGATAATAGCAAATGTATCCTTAAATATGATAAGATATCATAAATTTGACAAAAGAGCAACAATTTTAATGGATTCTATTACTTTTTTTTGTCTTTTTATGAAATCCAAATTGAGTGCCTTTTTGATGCCATTTGTGATTAGATCTTGGCTTGTCTTTTTGGTATTTTTTTGCATAGATTTTTGACATCTTTTTATTTTTATTTTATTTTTATTTTAGCATTTGAGTACTTGGTTGAAGCAATGCATTCCATGTCACAATGCTCACATCCTTCAAATTACATTCTCTCCAAAATCTGAGTATATTGTAGACAATAAATGTTTGACTTTTAATAATTGAGCAAATTTGCAACCCATTTGTTAGCACCACTTAGATAAAGACACTAGTTTTTAAAACCTTTCTTGCTCCATCATTTCACACTTCAATCTTCTTGCCAATTCATTCCATATCCACCACCTTCTAATGCCAATACCATCTCCACTAAAATAGGACCAGATTCTCTAAGGTCTAAAACCAAATTCATAACAACAAAGATCTTGACACAATGTAAGACCAAGCAAACTAGAACAAAACTGAAAGTAACTAAACAAAATGGTATATGAAAGACACGACTAAATAAAAGAGAATAAAACCAAAGAAACCAAATAAAATCAAATAGAAGGGAAGAAGAAAAACAAACTTTTTTGAGAGAAAGAGTCTAAAGCCATACTTGATCAAATGCCCCAAATGGCCTTAATTAGTCCTATTTATATTTTGTCCAAATATCTTGGAACTTTCTAGAACTTTCCTAATGGTTGATCTTATTAAGATAATTGTCCTTTTTGAAGATTCTAAAGGTAGGTTCTACCACGATAATTGTCTTAAGTCTTTTTAAAAGATTTTATGGTAGATTTCACATAAATCACCGTACTAACATCAATTCTAGAAACTTTTCAAAAACAACTCCAACTACATATCTCTATGTGCAAATAATATAAATATCCTATCCATGCCCTGTTAAAGCTAATCTTCCTCCACTAATATAGAACGTCCTTGTTTCACTCTTGGTGTTATTTCCAAATGGTTTTTTGACAATGAGTGAGATTTTTGGTAGGTTCTTAGGCTATATTAAGGATAGAATAACCTTTCTAGAAGACTTTGCATTGAAGTTACAAATGTCCACTACCAAGTATACTATCTCTAAAATACTACCCACTTTATATTTTTGTTGGTCATCAATCACAACTGATGATAGTAGTGGTAGTTGGTGTCAGTTTGGAAAAAGCCTTGGTTCAATATGAAAGTCCTTAAGCTACAAAACATAGAAGATTAGATAGACCCAAATATGTGGCAGAAGCTTAAGGCAATATGCAACATCAAAAATTACTTCAAAAACGTAGAAAGTTCTAAGTCATTGAGGTACTAGCTTATGGATTTGGATTGATGTAGCAAGTGGAAGGTTGATATTGGAGAGTAATACTTGATCATATTCTCAAAAGGTCTTGTATTGCCGATAGTTATCTGCATATTATTTTTGTCAATTATAAGCAGTAAAGAGATAGTGTTGTGCCTCTTACAAGGCTATTGTAAGCCATTGTATAAACTCCTCCATTATCAAATTATTGGCATTGATGGAACAATGGAGGGTTGCTAGAATAATTGAATATTGACCGGTGTTAAAAAAGAATAATGAATAATTGGCACTTGCTTGAATACTATCATTCTAGGCAAATTCTAATGGTGTCAAATATTCATGTCAATCATTATGATGAATTACCATGAATGCTTGTAGCATATCTTCTAGGGTCTAATTTGTATGCTCCATTTGTCCATTTGTTTCACAATGGAAGGCCATACATATGGCAAATTAAGTGCCTAATAGCTTGAAGAACAATTGCTAAAAATTCCTTATAAAATATTAATTTTGATTTGAAATGATGCCACAAGGTAATCTATGATGACAAAAGATAGTATTAAAGAAGACTTGTGTTAGTACTTGGGCATCAATATCAGAGTGCATTGTAGCCAAGTGAAGTTGCTTCAAGGATCGATCTACAAAGATAGCAATCACAGTTTAATTATGAGACATCTGTAGTGAATACATAATGAAATCCATAGTCACCTACTCCCAACGTGCCATAGGTAGTAAAATTGACTACAATAGCCCAATAGATATTATATTGTATGCTTTGTTATGCTGACATGATTCACAAGAATATACAAAAACTTGAACATCACAATCCAAACCTGCTCAAAACCATCTCCTTGAGATCTATTCTGAAATATTTTCACACCTTCAGTGTCTAGATATTGGAATGTCATGTTCTTTTTGAAATATGCTCATCTAAAATATAATATTGTTAGGTATGTAAATTTGCTTCTTGAAATAGAGCAAGCCATTGTAGATAAGATAATCTCAATATTACACATTATCTACCTTCAATTGATTGATAACTATCTTAAAATAAGCATTGCAATGCATAGTTTCTTTCTATTCTGTTCCTCTTATCACGTCTGAAATGACACTATTAATGGTAGCAACTTTTGCCTTATCATCTGATTCACATTTTAAGTTGAGTCTACTTGATAAAGTATCTAGCATGGTTTGTTGTTACCTTTGCTTATACTTAAGCTGAATATCAAAGAGCTGTAACTGCTCTTCCCAATGATGATATTATGATTTCATTTTTTTCAGATGCAAATTATATATTAGGAATTGGTGGTCAATCCAAATAGTCACTACCTTCTCTAACAAATAGTATTGCCACACCTTTGTGGCATGTACAATTGTTAGTTGCTCTCGATTACATGTAAAATAATTGTATTCTGTCCTTCTAAATTTGCATGATTCATATGCCACAAATTGAAGACTCCTACCAAAGTCTTATTGAAGAATTGCACCAATAATGAAGTTGGAAGCATCAATGTCAAGTGTACATAGAAAAAGAAGATTATACAATTGTAATATTGGAGGAGTAATCAATGCCTCTTTCAATTCCTTAAAGGCTCTTTTTTATTCAAATTTCCATTCAAATAGAACATTCATTTTTAATAAGCTTATCAATGATGCAACAATGTGTGTAAATTGCTAAATAAAATGGCAATAATATCAAGCAAGGCCTAAGAATGAGCAAACTTTAGAAGAATCCTTGAGAGTTGGTCAATCCTTCATTGCTTTTATCTTGTTAAGCTTCAAACACATTCCTTTGGAAGCCACCACATGCTCCAAAAAGGTGACTTTTGACTTCCAAAGTTCACACTTTATTTGCTTCTATTGAAGTGACTTTCATGTAGCTAGTACAACACTTTCCATAGATGTTGATCATGCTCCTCAAAGATTTTATTATATAGTAAGATATCATTGATGAAGACAATTACATACTTATCCAAAACATCCCAAAATAATTTATTCATGTGACCTATAAAGGAAGTTGAAGCATTACTGAGGCCAAAAGCTAATACAAGCCATCCAAATGTCCATAGTACATACAATAATATGCTATCTTTTCTATATCCTCTTCATAATATGATTTGTCAATAAGCACTTTGAAGGTCAAATTTGCTACAGATAGTTGCATCTTGATGTTGGTCAAGAAGATCATCTATATATGAAAGTGAATATGTATTTTTGACAGTTTGCTTATTGAAGCCCCAAAAATTGATGCAAAGTCAAAGTCTACTATCTTTTTTGAGTGGAATGAATATAAGTACTCTCCATATTGATGTACTTTCCTGAATGAGATACTTTTCTAAAAGTTCAACTAATGATTTTCACAATTCTCTAAGTTCATTTAGTACTAAGTAATAAATTGGCCAATTTGCTAGTTTAGCTCCAAACACTAGTTCTATTTGAAAGGAGGTACCTCAATTAGGTGGCATACTACTAGGTAAGTCAGTTGGAAAGACAATCCGATATTTATATATAAATTGTTCTACCTCTTTAGAATCTTTTGCAGTCTTTCCTACAATTGAAGCAAGATTCGGAACCACTACATATAACAATTCATTATGCCATATTTGCTTCTTCATAAAGATCATTCATATAAGTAAGCTTTTAGCTAGAGATCATTTTGCTATCCCATTGGATATAGAGGTAAGAAGAATCACT